AAAGGTCTAGTTTTCCACATGAGTGGGAGAAGCCAGGAATCAGAATCCACCTCAGAGCAACTGACATCCAAACCATTCCAGATAGGTGTGCATCTGACCAGTTTTTAAAGTGCTCGGGGAATTACACACACAGACACCTTCTGAAATGCCCTTCCACATTCTGTTGACGCTCCAAGTCTTGGAAAGACTCTGGGTTTTGCATTTTGATGTCTCCTGAACTCAAGGCTGTTTGGCTCCTGTACCAACTTTGGGTCTCTGCCAAAACCTGTATTATCGACTGCCACCTAGTGTTTTGTAGGAGGAATGCAGTGAATGTGGAGCCAAAAGAGAGAGAGTTGGGGGGGAGCTGGGGGAGAACTGGGGGCGGGGCGGGGGGGGGGTGAGGGGGGAAAGATGCAGCTGTCTGAATCCAAGTGTGCATATAATAGTATTTTAAAGGTCAGAAGAGAGTGAACATATTTACATGTTCTTGTTTGTTTGTTTGTTTTCATCTAACAACTAAAATGTAAGTGATAATAATTTTTACAATTGCTTAATATTTACCCCAAATAAACAAAAGTTTGCATGTCAAGAGCAAAAAATCACATTAAAAATTCTCCAACTGAAATGCCTTCAATGTGGTGAGTTGAGAGAGAGGCCCCGTGAGTGGTGATTTGGCCTTTCCTCTGGCTTCTTCCTCAGCCTTTGTTTAAAGTGGGTATCAAATGAGGAAACTCGAAGGCAGAAATATGTGACATACAACAACTTTGACAAGCATTTCAAAGATCCACCTGCTTCAGTTTATTCAGGTGTCTTTGGTTCAGGAAACAGAGTTCCGCTTGGCTAAAAATGGTAGTGCGCAGGACTGCTGCTAAAGTAATCACAAAACCATAATCCCACGAAGCAGCAAAGTCTGGACCTGTCGGCCAGCCCTCCGCTCGAGACTCTCATTCCACAGCTCGGCAGGAACACCTAACCTTTCGCCAAATCTAGCTGACTTGGGTTAAGTGCCTGACGTTGCCTCTGTTTTTAGCATTAGCTGAATTCCTTCTGGACCCTGGAGGAGAGGATGACAAAACCACGTCATGAGCTCCGAAGAGAGTAAGGTTTCTTGAAGGATAAAGAGCTCTGAAAACCCCTGAACCATTTGATTATTTGCGTGCCTCTTGGTTGTGTGAGTGGCCAGCATGAAATCAAACACAAAGCTTCAACATCAGCACTGTTTTAGACTGATTACCTGGTCTATCTAACTGGTTTACCAGGAGTCTGAACTCCTGCTCCCGTTCAGTTTGCGAAATTGAGATAAGCTAGCGATGCTATCTGTGTAAACTGGCTAGCTTGAGTTTTGCTACTTCCTTGTAGGGAGAGACAATGCCGTTTTGACACAATCTCTGTGGGACATGTGAAGGGTTCTTATGAAAAACTGGTCAGGATTTACACGATACAATGGAGTTTTTATCCTATCCCTTAAACCCAGGATGGGTATGTATTTTTCCCTTTTATTCCCTTCCTTCCTTCTGCTTGTTAATTTCTTTCAAACCTTTGTGGATGGTTGTTTCACACTTGCAACCCTCTTGATAATATTGCCATTATAATAGTCAGGGATAAAATTCACCTGGTCAGAATTTTTAGGTGTTAGCTAATGGGTACAGTTATACAAAAGTGTGGGAGTAAATTATTTTTGCACAGAAAATAATTTAAAACCACATCTCTGACAAAATTACAATTTTCATTAAAACTCTCAAAACACCTAATTCCTAGCACAATGTGCAAACCCTTTGCTACCTGATTTTAATAGCCTATTGTAGCACAGGATATGAACAGGCACTTCACCGAAAACAATATTCAGATGGCTAACAAGAACATGAAGAAATGTTCAAAATCCCTAGTTCTAAAAGAGATGCAAATAAAAACAACTATGAGATATCATCTCACCCCAGTCAGCATAACAAAATTTAACGGAACAGCAAGCAACAAGTGCTGGCGAGGTTGTGGAGAAACGGGAGCCCTTATTCACTGTTGGTGGGAGTGTAAAATGGTGCAACCACTGTGGAAAGCGGTATGGCGCTTTCTCAAAAAGTTGCAAATAGAGATACTATTTGACCCAGCAATTCCACTACTGGTAATATATCCCAAAGAGACCACAACTGACATCCAAGAAGATATATGCACACCCATGTTTATTGCGGCTTTGTTCACAATAGCAAGGAGTTGGAAACAACCTAAGTGTCCATCAACAAAAGAATGGCTAGAGAAGCTGTGGTAAATTCACACAATGGAATACTATGCTGCATTGAAAAACAAGGGACTCATGCAATATTATTCAAAATGGATGACTCTAGAGGACAATATGTTGAGTGAAGTATCTCAGCCACAAAAGGACAAATACTGCATGGTGCCACTGTTGTAAAACAGGACTGACCTTGGGGTTGGGGAGAGACTGAGAAAGATGGGTTCAATAATGTATACTGCATTGAAACAGGTAAGGGAGAAAACTGTTTAAAAGGGATATGTGATTGGGTATTTTTGTCATGACAGGAGTCTAGAGCGAAGGCTTCATGATGGAGTGGACCTGGGGGAGGGTTTGTAAAACAATGAAAGAATTTTTCTTTTACTTTTCCAAGAGGGTAGTGTTCTGGGGGTGAGGGTTGGGAGGGGAGAAATGTGCAACAATGAATGAATGAATGGATGGAAATCCAAAGTCTCTGTAAATTTTTACTAAAATTAACAATAAATTTAAATTAAAAAATTTAAGATAGTGTAAGGAAGGCAATGGATTTATAACTGCTCATGCTAATAACACTGTATCATGGCATGGAGGAGGAATAGTGGAACTGTACCCACATTTACAATATTTTTCTTACCAACACTATTTACGGAAAATAGGAACTGCATAGGAACATGTATGTCTGGACTGGAAATGATCATATTGATAATATTTCTAGCTTTAAACTTAAAAGATTATGTTGTTGTTGTTGTTGTTAAGTGCCTTCGAGTCTCAGGCGACTCATAGCGACCCTATGAAGGAGAGTCCTCGACGCTTGGGTGCCTTTCATCCTCTCTGCAAGTTCATAGGGTTTCCGGAGGCAAGCTATTATGGAAGTGGATGCCACTCCTTCTTCCACGCTTAAAGATTATACTGTTCAAAATTATTTGTTATATATTTGTTTAAATTTTCCCCTCTTTTAACAACTGGGATCTAGAGGGAAGAGAAAAGACCAGACAATGGCCAAAATTATTGGGGCAGCTATTGCTGCCACAGGGCCTATGTCAGGAAAAGGAAGTCTTACTCATAAACAATGCCACCCAAAGGTAATAAATGTGGTCAGAATTGCTTCCACTGTGGAAAGCTGGGCCACTTTAGTAGATAGTGTCACAGATGAGAGCCATAGATAGGCAAGGGAGTAGAGAGGAAGCTCCCACTCACTTGCTTTAAGTGTGGATCTGAAGGACACTTGGCCAAGGGCAGCCCACATCAGGTCCTCTGACTGACAGGACTGACAGGCCCCAGCGCCCAGCTGGAAACAAAGGAGGAATCTTCAATGATTCAGATCCTCCCAGAAGAGCCGTGGGTAAGCATTAACATTACTGGTAAGTATATTCATTTTTTCCTGGACAGAAGAGCCTATTATTTGGTCCTAAAAGCCTTCTGAGGTCCCAATTCTTCTCACTATTTCTTAGTTGTTGGAATTGATGGAAAACCTCATAAGCAGTTCCTTACTTCACGTCTGCCTTGCATGTGAAACAACCCAGTGGCAGATGGAATTTGGTCCAGGACTTAAGAACAATAAATGACATAGTTGAGCCTCTAGATCTTGTGGTTCCTAACCTTTATACTATAATAGACAAAGTGTTAGTCAATAATCCTTTTATTTTAAGAACTACCTTCCCTCTGTAACTTGATTTGT